AACAATAGGAAAATGACTTGGTTGTGGGTCCTTGATGGCTCCGGATTTGGGTCAATAAATATTCTTTTGTTTCTGAAAAAATTGAATATTTGAATATAAATCAAGAAATGAAATAGATAACCAATAAGAATTAGAGTGGATCTTAAAGGTCACGTGTTCTTGATTTTCGTCTCCAACGTCGGAGTTGAATGTAGTTGTGAACGACAATGGATGAAAAACATGTTCTTGGTTTTATGAGAGAGAGCGTCTTTTGGTTGGAGTGATTTTTTCTTTTTCTTTTTCTTTTTCTTTTTTTAAAGTTTTTGTTTTTGTTTATGTTAAATTAACATTCTGTATGGTAAAAGTAATAAAATAATGACATATTGATATTTAAATCAGTTTTTTCTCAACCCTTAGATTAGATCCAAGGGTGAGTGATCAAAACTTTCTTGGACCCTAGGGTCCAAGAGAATGGCATTGTTCAAGAATTGCTAAGGAAGAAGGAAAGCCATGATTCTTTCAATACATTGGACAAATAAAATACATAACTTATTGAATAAATAAAAAAAACCACTTATTTATTTTATAAATAAGTTCATAATTAAAATTTACATGCAGAAACAAAAATTAAATTTTATTGTTGAAACTTCAAAACAAACAAAAAGGAAATTGAAAATACTTAAAATTAAAAATAGCCACAATTTCTTCAACCTCAGAAAAGGTTGCACAAAGTCCCACATCCAAACTTTGTGCAAAACTCCCATTTTCACTTCCCTATAAATAGGGAACAAATCCCGAGTAAAGAAGGTAACTATTTTCTCATCTTTACTGTTACTCTGCCAAAATTACCACATATAGCTAACTTAAGCATCAGAGAGCCTTCGGCAGGCACCACACCGGTGTCCGAAGCTTGACGACTGTTTCTTCCTTACTGTCTTCTGCAGGATCTCTACATGCCGAAGGTCCACAACCTTCTCCCCCTGCTGAAGATACAATACTCCTCTACCTAAGTTGACCTTCCCCAAAAAGAGCATCAACACTAATTGTGTTATAACATATCCAAAATATAGGTAATGTACATATGAGGTGTTCATCTTGCGTGCATTATAAGATTTTTTTTTTTTTTTCTTGATCCATAATTAAAATTAGGGAGGTATAATATTCCAAATTCATTGCTTCCATCTTCTAAGCTACCGAAGAAAGCAACTATGCTATGTTCGATAGTTCTTAACCCCTCATTTTACGCAGGTGGTAATTACCACCTTTTAAAATGTGCATTCACATTGCTGCAAAACACCAACTGAAGTGAAGGAGAAGATTTTGAATGGAAGAATGGATTAACCTTGCTTCTGGAATTTACTGAATCCTTTTAAATTTCGTTCAAGATGCTGCATTTTCCCTTCTCAAGTTTATGCAGCTTTGACCTAAATGGTTTGCCATAAGCCTTTTTGGTGACCAAAGGCCCTCTTGTTATGTGGTGGCTAAGTTTAGTGTAATTTGACCAAGGCACAGAGTTGAAAAAAGGTGATCTTTGAGCAGAAATCCCCCTTCTTTAAAGGTAAGGTACATTGTTGCCACTCATTGCATGAAATTAATACCCCTAAAAAATTAGCACGAGCAAACATGGGAATACCACTAGACAGATTCTCACCAGAAGGCGAAGTAAAATATGTCATTGTTGATTCTGTCTCTACACACAGATTGTCTCCTCAAGTTAAAACATTTGTCAGTCAGATGGAAGGAATTAAAATTCCTAATAGATTGGAAGAAGCTTTGCAAGACACAAAATGGGTGGAAGCAATGAATGTGGAGATGAAGGCTTTACAGAAGAATGAAACATGGGAAATTGTTCAACAACCTGAAGGAAAGAAACCTATTAGATGTCGATGGGTGTCACAGTTAAGCACAAAGCTGATGACACAAGAGACAGATATAAAGCAAAACTTGTGGCCGAATAGTATACGCAGACATATGGAGTTGATACTAGGATACGTTTGCCTCAATGAAAAAAATGAATACGGTGCGAGTTCTATTGTCCTTAGCGGCTAATTTAGATTGGCCTCTCAAGCAATTCAATGTGAAGAATGCCTTTTTACATGGAGATCTAGAAGAAGAGGTGTACATGGACCTGCCACCTAGTTATGGGTGGTCTAATAACAGTGGGAAAGTGTGTAGGCTTCGAAGGACTCTTTATGGTTTGAAGCAGTCTCCGCGAGCATAGTTTGGGAGGTTCACTGAAGCAATGAAGAAGTATGGATATCACCAAGGTAACTCGGATCATACCCTATTTATCAAACGTAGGTGTGGTAATGTTACTTTGTTGATAATCTATGTAGATGATAAGGTTATTATTGGTGATGATGTTGATAAAATGGGTAAATTACATAAGTACTTAGGGGCTTTGAAGTATTTTTTGGGAATCGAAGTAACTCGCTCTGCTACTAGTATTTGACTATATGAAAGGAAGTATGTTCTAGATCTGTTGACAGACATTGATATGTTAGGGTGTGCACCAGCTTAAACCCCTATTGTTTTTCTCAAGCACACTTCATTTTCTTAAGTAATCAAATGGTAGTTTTGAACTTTCTGTAATGATTTGAGCTGTAATGATTTGAGCTACGATTTATGATGCTTTTTTTTTATCAAACATAATGTCAAAATCTCATTCATTGAAATTCACGGTGAGGAGATTAGTGAATCAAAAATATAAAAAAAGAGATATAAATGACATGTGGTGAATTGCATGTAGAGTTAGTTGAATATTCCTTTTCGTAACCATTTCTCGACTAAGTTTTAATTGGTGAGACATTGAGCTCAAATCATCTAATAAAGTTTAGATTGTGAGACTTTGATGGAAGAGAAGAACTTGAGAAATGCAACAGAAAACGATGTCGTTGTGAAAACGATGGGATTGTGGATGGTTGGATTATTGGGCAAAAGGGTCCCTCCTTACGTGAAACACAAAACCAACTATTGTTGTTCTTGGAAACGTGCCAATGACGTTACAATGTACATGCAGATGGGAGGTCATTTTTCTACAGTTTTTTTTTTTTTTTTTTTTTTTTTAATTTTTAATTTTTAAAAATGAATAATTTTATTTAAATGGCAATAACAAAAAATGTTGCTTTAATTAATTAAGGCTGAAGAACATCAAATCCAGTATTTACTAAAAAAAATGGTGCAAATCTAGTATTTACTCAGAAAAGGGTGCAAATCTTAGTGAGTTGGACGAGTTAGGTGACCAATCCGGGTTCAACTCAGCTTTGGAACTCGAATGCATCACTCGGTTCAAGTATAGGTTGACATTTCAAAATTAAAATATTGGTCATCTTACGTGGAAATTTTTATATGAAAATATGTCACTTGATTTGACCAAGCCTTTTTTTTTTTTCGGAGTGCTAGCAATCTTTTCTCTAACCTTCCCTTCTACTCATGACAAGTGTCATTTTCCTTACACTTAAAACAATGTCATTAATGCATCACACAAACTAGTTTTTGTTTTCCAAGTTTACCCTTATTAAATGTATTAATTTTTTTTTAATAACAAGCTAATTTTTTTTATAACTTTCTTACCATATTGTTAAAAAATTAAATAAGAAAATAAAAACTGAAGTTTTTTATAAAAAAAAAAAAATTCCAAAGAGAACGTGTGTTTTGTTATAAACAAAATAAAGATGATAACAATGTCATGAAACGAACTTTATTTTTATTTTTTTTTAAATATGACGTTTTTCTTATTTTTTTTTATTATTTAAGTTTTAATAATGTGCTAAAGAAGTTGTAACAAAATTTGAATAAATTGAAGGAAATATAGAAGCCAATACATTTTAAAAGGGAAAACTTGGAAAACAAAAACTAACTTGTGTGATGAATTAATGACATTGTTTTAAGTGTAAGGAAAGTGACACTTGTTATGAGAAGAAGGGAGAAGATCCAAAAGAAAAGGTTAGAGAGAAGGTTGCTAGCATTTCTCTTACACAAAATGTTAGTTGGTAAATTATAACAAAAGGTCTTATCGTTTGTATAAAAAAACAAAAAGTCTTATCACCGAAAAAATAGTATTTCACGATTGAGTCAAGTTACCCACCCGTTAGTTAATAATAATATATATATATATATAAAGCAAAAGGCAGAGAATAGTGAAACATTCAAAATACCAGAAAATGCCCTTAATTAATACAAACATTAAAAATTAAAATTATTAATTAAATGAGGATAATATAGTAAATTCACACCTTTTCATATTAAAAAAATTTACAATTGAAAGAAAAATCAGATAATGGTTCCTATTTTTATGGAACACAACCATCCATTATCTTTTTTACTTCTAAAATAAATTTAAATTTTTTTAAAAAAGCCTCTCGCAAACGCGGAAGCGCGTTCGGAGAGACTAGTTACTAATAATAGACCTCGTGTTGATAATAAAATTTACGATTTTTTCTTTGTCTCATGTTTGACCTCTTGAAAGGACATAAATAATAAACAATTTCAGCAAATGTACCATCACGTTTTCCAAAAGTTCATATATTGCTTAAATACTAAGCAAGTTCAAAAGTTCTTGGCATGCTATGACGTTAGTGTTAATTTTATGAAAATGAAGAACCTTTAAAGATTAGCAGAGATTCTTTGTAAATGTTCTTGTCTAAATGCAAATTCTCGGATACAACAATAAATAACTACTCTTAATTCCTCGAATGACAACCCCATGCAATGACGTTTTAAACTTGTAAAGAGGTAGTAGAAAAATCTTGTCATGAAAGTGAGCGTAAATTTCTAACATTAAACTTATAATTGATCATAAAAGATATTTTGTGCTTCGATTTTTTGTGCTAGAATCTGCTTGACTTTTATCTTAAATGGGGAATGTGGAATTTTTCTCCCAAATATACAGCCAAGAGACAGCTACTACGTTTATCCAATTCCCATGTCTTGTCTTCTCAAGTCAAGTCTTCGATGGATGTTCGAACAAAAAAAAAAGATAAAAGATAAAAGAAAAAACAAACTCAAAACCACCACCCATTTCTCAAGGTCTTTGTCACAAGAAAATTGTAGTACAAAACTTCTTCCCAAAAATTCGTATTTCGTCTTCTTCGTACTACTCTCTGTTTCTCTTCTGCCCAAGCTCTGTACTACACCAACAACCAAACCCCACCCTCCCAATTTATAACCACACTCACAAACAAACCCATTAAACCCAACGCCTCTCTCTCCCTTCCTCTCAAACCCACAACATAAACAACAATAATGGCTCCTCCTCGTCTGCCTCGCCCACTTCTCCTCTGTTTTCTCATCCTCCTCTGCCTAACCATCCCCGCCTTAGCCCACAGCGGCCACGACGACGACGAAAACGACAACGAACCCTCCACAGACCTTCGTTCAAAGCCTCTGATACTGGCCAAGATTTGGTGCCTGATTATAATCTTTTTTGCGACCTTCATACCTGGAGTTTCGCCTTACTTTTTCAAGTGGTCTGAATGGTTCTTGGTTTTGGGTACGCAGTTTGCTGGGGGTGTGTTTCTGGGTACGGCTCTGATGCACTTTCTGAGTGATGCCGATGAGACTTTCAAGCACTTGACTGAGAAAGAGTACCCTTTTGCGTTTATGTTGGCTTGTGGGGGGTTCTTGCTCACCATGCTTGCTGATTGTGTGATTTCGTATGTTTTTCAGAAGAACAAAAGTGGTGGGTCTGCTCCCCATCTTGAGTTGCAAGGTAAGTGGTTCGTTATTCAGATTTTTGTTCTGAGGAATTGAATTCTATTTGGTTGTTCAATTGTCGTCCATGAGATTTGAACTCGCGTACAACTTAACATTAACATAGTGGAAAGTGGAGACTGGGTGCTATTAGACTTTAGACCAAATGCTCATTGGATTTGATGTGGGATTTCTTATTTCTGTTCTTTTACTTTTCTTTTGACGGCTTGGGTACATGCTAAAAGTATAAATTGGCTTTGTCTGGTGTATGTGTATTCTTTCTGAGAATAGTAATTGGGGTTGTTGTTTACCATCGCTAAGTTGTGACATTACATTAAGAAGCAAAACTAGGCTTAAGGTAGTTCTGTGCTATTAAATTTTTTTTCATGTTTATCTGATTTTTTTGTCTCTGCTACCAAAAAGATGTAAAGGTTTTTATGGCAATCGATTTACACATTTTCTTTGTTACAGGGAGTGCTGAGCAGGGAAAGGGTGGTCAAAATGGCAATAAGGTGAGACATATGTAGTTCTCGAATTCTCATATCTACTGGTGGTATCAGGATCTCCATATGTATAGGGCATGTAATTGGTGGTGGATCTGAGACTAACGGGATACTTGTTTTTGTTTGCCCTGACAGAGCCATAACCACTTCGCGACCGTGGCTGTTGCAAATGTTAGCTCACTTGGGGATAGCATCTTGTTGATAGTGGCCTTGTGTTTCCACTCTGTCTTTGAGGGCATTGCAATTGGAGTCGCTGACACTAAAGCCGATGCTTGGAAAGCCTTATGGACAATTTCTCTGCACAAGGTATTTGCAGCCATTGCCATGGGCATTGCTCTCCTTCGAATGATGCCTAACCGTCCCCTCTTATCGTGCGCTGCCTATGCTTTTGCATTCGCTATTTCAAGTCCTATCGGTGTGGCCATCGGAATCCTAATAGATGCGACAACCCAAGGAGCTACGGCAGATTGGATATTTGCGATTTCAATGGGTGTAGCATGTGGAGTGTTCATCTATGTAGCAGTAAACCATCTATTGGCGAAAGGTTATAAACCCGACAAAGCAGTTTCCATCGACAAACCCCATTACAAGTTTTTGGCAGTTTTGTTGGGTGTCGGGGTAATAGCTGTTGTGATGATTTGGGACACTTGAAGCCATGCCAAAGATGGTTCCTGCACGATTTGTTAGTGGAATACGGCATTTTGAAGCGTAGATAGCAGCAAAGCAAGTGTGATAGATTATAGATGCCTGATATTTTTTTTTTTCGGCATAATGTTTTGCTATCATAAGTTATTAGTTAAAGTTGTAGGGCTCTTAAAAGATCTCCAAGAGTGCTTATTTGTAACATAGTCAAATTCTTACACTGTTCACGCATCTCATCTTTTCCTTGTATTACTTGTGAGGGTAATTCTTTTTTTTTTTTTGGTTGCCAAAAGAGGGAAGATTTTGTTGGTGTGAGTCTTGATTTCCAAGTGTGATTCAAGTTACCTAATAAGAGTAGTTACCTAGTTAGGAATCCTTGTAACTTGTACTTGTATATATATCATCCTTATGGAGAAATATGAAATATAATTCACAATCATTAAATCCTATGTTTTAGTTTAAGTTGGTATCAGAGTCGGCTAACATTGGTCTCTCAAAACAAAACACAAAAAACCCTAGCCCATAGGCAACATCTACCGTTGACATCAATAAATAAATAAAATAAAATAAATAAAATAAAAAAACTAGCTATAGCAAAATAGTGGTCGAACCCTTGTCGTCACAAACCTAGTGCGGCAAAAGACTTCTAAAATAGCAAATCCATCTAGACTCGTTCTTTGTCGTACATGGTTTTCGAAGATATCCTAGACACCCCAAGCACTATTGCCAAATCTAGTATTTCAGAGACCCACAAAACTCTTGACATGCCACAACCAATGTTACAGTTCACAATGATAATTATGCTACCTCGTTCACCATACGGTTGAATGGAAAGAACTATAGCACTTGGTCGAAGATGATGTTACTGCATGTGTCAGGCCAAGGAAAAAGAGGTTATCTGATAGGGAAGGTGGCTGAAGTGGAGAAGGACGCTCCGGGCTTTGATTCACAGTGTATTGAGGACTCCGTTGTTAAAAGATGGTTGATAAAAACCATGGAAATATATGTGGTAGAATTATTCTTGGATCTACCAACCGCTAAAGATGTCTGGGAGAGTGCAACCCAGATGTATTATGATGCGTCTGATGAGTTGTAGATTTATGAATTAAGGTGTAAAGCAACCCGTATTACTCAAGGGGATCGCGATATTACTTCATACTTTGCTGAGCTCAAGAGCGTTTGGTTGGAACTTAACCGTCGTCGTTCAATCAACATGAAGTGCCCTTATGATGTGAAGATTCGACATGATGAGATACAGAAAGACTATTTATGATTTTCTTGCACGTCTAGATGATGAGTTTGATTAAATTCGAGGAGATTTGTTGAGGTTGAGTCCATTGCCCAAATTAGAGGAGTCATTTGCTTTTGTTTGTAAAGAGACCCAATGCCGAGAGATGATGCTCAGGAAGGATGGAAAGACTGAATCCTCTGTTGTTATGGTTTCTAAAGCCCCTACTGCGAGTTTTTCTTTTCCCCGTCCAACCTTTGAGGAAAAAGAAAACATGCATTGCAATTACTGTAATAGGAACCGTTATATAGAGGCCACTTGTTTTCACAAGAATGGGCTCCGAAATGATTCCTTGAAAGCCATAAGCAATGAAAGGCTACGCATGTGAAGAAAAAATGGCGGGAGTGGTGTAGCTACTGTAGCCACAACTAGCTAGCCTTCTGTCGGCCCTGTCGCCGACACTACCTCAGGTTTGCAGACCTCGTCCACGACTGCTACTTCCCTTGATGATTATTTTACTGCTCTCTCTCAGTTATCCCTTCCAGAAATTGTTGACTACAATGGTAATCAGGGTAAAGCATTGGTGCTTTTCGACCAGCAAGATACAAGTTGGATTATCGATTCTGGTGCTACTGATCATATGACCTATGATAAATCTTTTTTTCATTCTATGACTGCTCTTACCAAAACAAGTGTGGTTATTGTCAACGGAGAATCTAACTCAATCACTAGGGCTGATTCTATTACTCGTACTCCTACCCTCTATTTACATAAAACTTTGCTTGTTCATGCTTTGTCCCATAATTTATTATATGTTGGGCAAGTTATTGAACAGTTAGATTGTTGTGTGCTCATGTTCTCCTCCTTTTGTTTGCTTCAAGATGTTCAGACTAGGGAGATCATCAGGCATGGTACTAAGAGAGGGGGCTTTACTATGTGAATGACATTGCACTAGGTCATGTTCATCTGGTTCGAGGTTGTCAGTGAGAAGCAAAAAAAGATTCAATTATGGCATCGGCGGTTGGGCTATGTTTCCTTTGGTTATTTGCAGTCTTTGATTCCATATTTATTTAGTGGAGTAAAAATTTATGATTTTTAGTGTGAGACTTGTATTCAAGCTCCACAAAGCACTATATGGCCTCAAACAAGCACCTCGTGCTTGGTTCCATTGCATCAATACCTTCCTTCTCTCAATGGGTTTTTCACAGAGCCAAGCTGACACTTCATTATTTATTTTTCAACAAGCCTCCCATACAATCTTTCTTCTTATATATGTCGACGACATCGTGGTAACTCGCAGTGATTCCACCCATCCCCAACAATTCATCTCTCTTTTAGGTGGCCACTTTGACATCAAAGACCTTGGTCCGCTTAGCAATTTCTTGGGTTTACAAGTTCTTCATAAGAACGATACTCTCCACATCAATCAACTCAAATATGCACATGATCTTTTATAGAAAGCCAATCTTCTCAACTCCAAACTCGCATCTACCCCATTGGCTGCCAAGGTTCTCCTCTCTGTCTCTGATGGTGCTCTCATCTCCAACCCAACCGAGTATTGCGAGCTTGTTGGTAGTTTACAGTATCTCACTCTTACTCGCCTGACATATCTTTTGCTGTCAACACCGTTGCTCAGTTCGTGAGTGCTCCTCGTACCTCTCACCTTGTTGCTGCCAAATGGATACTTCGGTACATCAAGGGCACTGTTGATCTCGGCCTCACCTTCACTCCCCAAATTGTCGCAACTTGTCTCTCCGCCTATTCTGATGCAGACTGGGCTGGGTGCCCTAATTCTCGTCGGTCAACCACTGGCTATGTGATTACTCTTGGAACCAACCTCATCTCCTATCAAGGCCACTATTGACCTCGGCCTCACCTTCACTCCTCAAACTGCAGCCGCTTGCCTCTCTGCCTACTCTGATGCGGATTGGGCTGGGTGCCCTGATTCTCGTCGGTCAACCACTGGCTATGTGATTACTCTTGGAACCAACCTCATATCCTGGTGTTCCAAGAAACAACCCACTATCTCACGCTCTAGTACAAAATCGGAATATCTTGCCCTTTCTCATGCTTGTGCCGAAATCACTTGGCTCTGCTCCCTTCTTCATGAATTGGGTGTGCGTCTTCAGTTCCCGGTCCTACTCTATTGTGACAATCTCAGCACCACTTACATGGCTGCCAACCCAATTTTCCATGCCCACACAGGTCACATTGAGTTGGACTACCACTTTGTCCGTGAAAGTTTGCTTTGTTCCTTCCATCGATCAACCTATGGACCTGTTTACAAAGGCCCTTCACAAACCACATCATCAGCATATGTCTTCCAAACTTGTGCATCCTGCGACGTCCAGTTTGCGCGCCCCCGAGGGGGGACGCAGCTTTCCTTTCCTAGCAGACACGGAATCTCCTCCTAGCAATTAGCTTTCCTGTTGTAAATCAGATGGTATTCATGTCTATATTATTTCCTACCTTAAATAAACTTCCTATATTTGTATAAATCGGAACTTTGTGTAATTTGTTTAATGCAAGAAAATATATTCTCTAAAGTATTCCTAAGTGCTAATCTGCTAACCGCACATGCTTGTGAACATCCTGCTTGTTCTTCAAAACATATGCATTACTCATGTGTAATGGGACCAAAGTAGGCCATCACCTTGATATAAATTATTGGCCTAATCGTAGCGGCTTAAGCTCTTCGATATTCTCCACTTCTTAATTTGTTGGTTATCAGGGTGATGCTATTTTTCTTTTGCTTGTGAGTGAGGCTATTTAAAAAAATACATATATCGTTTCCTATTTTTATTTTAGTACATATTGTCAGTGGATCCTTCACTAACAGAATAATAAATTTGGCACTTTTTTTCTAAAAGGAAGGAGAAATTTGATATTGGATTCAAATTGCATTATAATACTATTGCTAATTTGTTTCATTTGTTGGATCAACCTTGATTTGTTTAGTCAAAAAAGAAGAGAGCATCTACAAAAGAATCTATCAACAAACAAGACAGAGTAATCAAAGACCAGAGCTTGAAATATTTTAAAAGAAATGATAAGAATAAAAATTACTATATAAACAAAGCCCATGTTATAAAGTCAAGCAGAAATCAGAAAGCAAATCTGAAATCCCATCAACAATGGCAGAAGTAGCAAAGAAGTACTACCTGCTGCTTCCATGATGTTTTTAAGCTTCACTTCTATCAGACTCCTTGGCCACCACAACCCATATTTCATTAAATTTTAATACCATTTTTCCTTTTCTCTTTTCTTTTTATTTCAGGTATGCAGTTGTTACAGGTTCAAATCAGGGGATTGGATTTGGAACAGTTAGGAAGTTGGCTTCAAATGGGATCATGGTGGTGTTAACTGCTTTAGATGACAAAATGGGTGTTGAAGCTATTGAAAAATCGAAAGAGTGTGGCCTCTCTGACCTGGTGGTTTTTCATCAACTTGATGTAACAAACACTGCTAGCATTGCTTCCCTTGCAGATTTTGTCAAAACCCAATTTGGGAAACTAGATATCTTGGTATGATAAGAAACCATATACGATCAACTTCTCTATCACTCTGTTCATGCTCATGTTAAAAAAAATTCATATAACTATGAAAAGTATACATTGACTTTCCACTATGTTACTTACTGGTAATCTATAGGTAAATAATGCAGGGGTTAGTGGAACCATTGTAGACCCTGAAGCTATGAGAGCTGCTGCAGCTGCAGTGCAGGTATTGGTAGGGTAAGTTTTCCTTTAGCATCTTAAAGATTCCAAATTATATGTGGATTTGATTAAAACTTTTCATATATAAAATTTCAAATACAAATATTTAATTTGAAAAATGCACTAGCTAAATGCAATCTTTCTTTTCTTTGATGCAGGATGGTGTGGGAGTCAATTGGAGTGAAATAATGACTCAAACTTATGAGTTAGCTGAAGTATGTGTGAAAACAAACTATTATGGTGCCAAGAAAATGACCAAAGCACTCCTTCCTCTCCTTTAGCTATCTGATTCACCAAGAGTTGTCAGTCTTTCTTCCGGCATGGGATCGTTA